GTGAAACCAAATAAAAATAGTGCATGGGTGAATTTTAATTTAATTAATTTATAACTTATTCTGATTACAACAAATAAGGGCTTTTGTTTTTGAAAAATTAGCTGTAGCAACATATTTAGTTATTTATTTCTTATGATATGCATTAATTTTTATTATACCGAATTAAAATACAAGTAATATGTGCTTTACCCAAACCAAGAAGTATCCTATTAAACCTCCTGAAAGCTGTGCCAGGATATAGAGAGGAAAATCGACTAAAGCTTTTTTTCCTAAAATACATGCAGCAAGTGTAACTATAGGGTTGACATGACCACCGGATATATGGGATCCAAACTGGAACAATATAGATTTGTTTCAATCTGAGATTATGGTTTTATTTGAACAGGATTATGAATTTAACGTTAGCATATAATTAAGAAATGTCTTCAAGAGAAAACTAGAGCATCTCAGAATGTATCCAATACAGCTCACGTGTATATGTTAATTATTATTTTGTAATAAAAGATACAGATTTTTCGATAACCAACTTGTGAAACGCTCTCAAACGATTTCATATTTTTTATTTAATATTTGATAGTGTTTCAAGTTTTTAAATTTTCTTTATTCTAATTAAACTGCCCCATCACGCGAATAATCACCATTCTGAAAGAGGTCTTGCCAGTTAGTAGCATTTAATCAAAAGTTTGACAAAACTAAAACTTGCTGGGTTCCTCGTACTCGTATCGAGTGCAAAAATCAATTTAGAAAAATACATGGGATTCCCGGACTCGTTTAGTTTAGCACTCCTAACCCAAGATGTGAAAAGGACCCTGCATGCTATTTATTTTTTCAGAACTCGTCCTAATAAAGTGCTTTCCGTTTGTTTTTTTTTTTTGGTATTAATATAAATCCCAAAGTTCTGACATGCTCAAGCTACTATTCAATCAAAAACATACCTGAACTGCCATTAGAAGAGCAAATCCATTTCCAAGAGCCAAATGTAGTAACGTATATTGAAAGGACATCCACATTTTGGAAACGCAAGTAAAACACACTACACTCGTAAAAATAATCATTGATACAAATTCAGATGAAAACACAGATACTCTGTCTAAAATGGTCTTTCCGTCCACCAAAACAAAATATCCTATAAAATATTAACAAAAACTGAGAAGATAACCATTATGGTTACATTAATCAATCAAATACAACGATTTGAAATTCTTCTTAGGTATTCAAAAAAACCGCCCGAGCAATGGTAAAAGGTACTATTTATCAAAATCGTACCAATATCGACATTACCATAATTTAATAAGGTTAACCGATAGACTATGTAATAGTTTTTAGTAAATTAATGTTAAATAATGTCTTAAGAGGTTTAAACAATTAGAGTGTCAAAAAAGTTCAATAGGTCTGATGATTTTGGACATTTACCACTGTCTCACATCATATTATTTAGGTTTTGAAAGTACTTAATGATAATTATAATGGGATAAATAGATAACTCTGAAATTGTTTTCGCAAACATTAAAATAATCTTCCATCTCTATCAAAATATCAAATAAAAAAATCGGTTGTCTGTAAAGTCGGTTTACTGACGATAGTGGAACGTGACAACGTCATAAGAAAATACTGATGGAATGGTTTCATTTTTCAAAAGAAAATTTTAATTTTATTTGTTTGATAGATATTTTGTATGGATGTAGAGAAGGAGGTAAATGGAAATGTATTATTGTATAGCAGCTGTCCACGCGGACGCATCGCTCACTCAAGTAGGAGAAAGACAGATGTCGAACGCTGCCGAACGCGGAGGCCGATTGTGCCTCTTTATCGCTCGTTCCGCGCTCTCGCTTGCACTTCAAGCCTTAAGTGGAACGCCTCAGAGCGAGGTAACGCCGCATGAGTCATGTTTTTTCGTGCGTGCAGCCGACTCCATCGAATTATAAGACATTGTCACGTCAAAAATACATATTAGAGGCGGAAAGAGGAGTTAAGAGGGGTAGAGAGATTAGATTACTGTTCCCAAAAAGTTAAGGATGTAGGATGTTTCAGTTTGCCAATTTTGATCGCCCCAACTATAGAACCTTCAATGCTGCAGTGCTGATGGTTCGAAATTCTTGGGCAATTGAACTCCAAAATTGAAGCAGTTTGTCTTTGGCATATTGGGGATCAATGCTGGATTGACAGTACAATTCTATTAATTGTTCTTCTTCCTCTTTCGAAAGTGCTGATGGTGATGGCG